ACACACACACACACACACACACACACACACACACACACACACTTCTACAACAAGTTCTTCCTAGGAGAAGAAGCAGTTTGCCTGGCTTTTGAATTGATATGCTTTTGGCCTTGCTTGGAAATGTCTTTGTCTTCCCTTGAAGGCGCAAAAACACCTTGCCAGGTGTAATAATTTTAGCCTGCCCAGAAGTTTTATGAACTGGAAATGGAATGAGAAGCTCGGCCACCTCCTTTTTCTCTTCCACATGCATTTTGGTTGACAGGTCGGCCATGAGGCCTAGAATGTTGAGGCTGGAAGCCATCTCTTAGACTAGTGGGCTTGAATGCCCCCTGACTTTGTAATCTGGTGGGGCAGGGAGAACAGACATTTTGACTCTCTACTTCACAGATCCCATCCCTAAGGGAACTTTAGTTTTTCTTACTTTAAATTAGAACTTAAAACTTTTCAGGGGTGCCTGGGTGGCTCAGTTGGTTAAGTGTCCTACCTTGGCTCAGGTCACAATCTTGCAGTTGGTGGCTTCAGGCCCCAAGTTGGGCTCTGTGCTGACAGCTCAGAGCCTAGAGTCTGCTTCAGATTCTGTGTCTCCCTCTCTTTCTGCCCCTCCCTTGCTCACTCTCTCTCAAAAATAAATAAACATTAACAAATCAAAAAAAAAAAAAAAGAACTTAAAACTTTTCAGAAACACATCTATTCTCCAGTGGTGGTAGATGAGGAAACTGAAGAAAAAGTTCTATAAAGAAATTCTTTTTTTTAAATCTGTAGGATTAGAGGTCTGGTAAAGTGTCCTATGTAAATAGCTAACCTGGTTATACTCATTATTATTTACTTATCCCTTTTCAAGCTATGTGTGTGTGTACTGAAATATATATGTATGCATGTTTTTACACATGGCATATATATATTATATACACACATATATACTTATATATACCAGTGTACATATCCAATTTAGTACACACATACACAGGCACACAACAGGCAGGCATTGTTTTCAGTACTTTTCATTTGTCGACTTGGATTAATTCTCACAACCTACCCAAGAACAAGCCTGCTAAAGACTCCACTCCTTCGTGTTTTAGGATTGTGTGGTGAGTATGGCTGTCATCTTGGAACAAAAAGATGAATCTAATACATGGTAATGGAAAGAATAATGACTTCTAAGTCAGACGGCCTGCTCCAAAATTTGTGGCCTTTCCATGCATGCGTCTCAGTTTATTTTACTTGAACTTGTGAATAATACCACCTCTGGTCTTATCACACAACTGTGTCTTGAATAGCAAACCAAATCATTCACGTAGAAGCTTTTCATTTATTATACATGACTGTCTGCCCTGTTGGTGAAAGAGATATGCTTTTAGCTTTAACTTACTTTCCTTAGGTGGTTAGGATGCTTTATTACCTCC